TGGCGGCTGCCCGCTTATGCAAATGAAGCCCGGGAAATTCAAATCCCGGGCTTCATTTGCAAGTGCGGTATGCCTACTTTACCCTCCTAGTTCGAACTAGTGGGGTAGTGTAGGCATACCCTTAGATAGTGAATGGGGCAGGGGAGGCATGGATTCACACAGAGAAGTTCAACCCAAATCACAAAGATAAACACAAATACCCTAATTGTATCTAAATACACATTCCCCTCTACTCACGGTCCATGCTGGTCTGTACGTCGAGGTCCAGTTACTTCCATGTCCAATATTTCTTATCGGCATCATCATTCTGGTCCCTGCCTCTGCTCTCTCCAGCCCTTATTTCGAATACACAAAAGAAGAGCAGACCGCGTAGCCAATTCAAATTTCATCACTGTATCCCCATGGGTTCTTCTGGCCCCCTGCCAACACCCTTGCTACCTGAGTTTAATCCTTCAGTCACCGAGTGCTGGCCAGCACTCCTCCTACCCATCGCACCCACGGACCAAACATATAAAGCAGGCAAAGCATGGGGCTTCTATATTCTTTCTCCTGCTCCCACCTGTGCTGCAAACAACAAAGACACAGAAGATTGAACACTCCAACAGAGGAGACTGGCCTAAGTTTAAGGGACAAACCTGTATATTAAGGACTGCAATATCTAGTGAGGTAAGAAAAAAATGGCTTAATCTAGTTGTTGCCCAGTCTACCAGAGTTGAGGGGCTATGCTTATTAATAACTCTGACATTTTTGCCCATTTATAATCACTTAAAATCTATCATTCGTAGTCAATAAACTCATTTCACTGTTAATTTTTACCAGTGAGTTTGCCTGAAGTGTTTGGTATTTGCTCAGGTTTTACAGAGGCTACTGTATATCCACTTTCTATAGATGAAGTGGTGAACCGATTAATACATTTGCACCACGCATCTTAACTGGTGCAAGATGGTACATTCCTGAAATACAAGCCTGGGATCCAGGATTTGGCTGGTGCCTTTCTCTGTGTGATTCATGAATGGCGCTGGGAGCATTCCTCAATCTAGCTTGGTGTGGGGCTCCACATGCTGTTGTGCTGAGTGATAACTGGGCCTGGAGGGGTTTGCAGGGTGTCACCAGCAAAGCATTGTGAGAGATGGCCCAGGCTAGAGAGTTAAGGGGGCACAGCAATCCCACAATCCCAGGCTGTATCTTGGACATTCCTGTTAAGGCTTCAAAGGGCAAAAGATCTCTCGAGGGATTTCTTGATTTCTTCTAGAGAACAACACTTGTAAGACAGCCCTTAGCAGAAACATTTTTTCCTCCATATGAATAAACTTTCTGGAGAAGTCTCACTTTTCAGGGAAATCATCTACTTCACTCTTCCTTCAAAAGGGATGTTCTTGCCATACAATTCTTCTTGGCATGGAGCATTCCCTATACAATTCTGAGCCTTCTATTGAATGCAGTGGTCCCTGCCTCTGTGGTTTGAATGGACTGTAGTACTCCATAGACTGGACTAGGAGTTGTGGGTGGGCTTTACTAATCCTTCCGCTTATTATCATTTCTCTTACCCATTGCACTTCACCAGCATAGGACCCAATTAAAATTGGGCTTTCCCTGTCGTAGAGGAATAAAGGTGCTCATCACAATACTGAGTTCACGGTTCTAAAACGACAGGACCAGAACCTATAGGATATACTATGAACGCACTTGTCAAATGGGATGGACAGAATCTCATGTTTTAATGGTAAAAAATGGCATTTATGTAGCCGATTGTCCATATGAACCCCTGAGAGAAAGTTTGGATCCCATATTTTAAAGTGGTGGTCAGAATCTATTCTTGACCACAGCATTGGGATATGGTGAGGATGGCAGCAGTTTAGGACAGAGGGATGTGACTGGTGGAATGCTGTATGGCAAGTATTAGGAACATTTTTGTCTATTTCACGCATAAATAGCCCGGAAAGAGGAGCAGAGATAAAATGTGATTAAACTTGATGCAGCAAAAAACTGATGCATTTCCTAGAGTGGAAAAGATTTTTGTGTAATAGCCTGATGTTTGTATTAGCAGAAATAATTTTTCTTAACAACTAAATTAAGCCTAACTCACTGCTCTCAAACAGGATATATGAAATATTCCAGTTAGATTTATTTTATATATAATTGACAAACAATAGGAAATTGAGAAAGATTGCTTCTTTTTTAATTGATTAATAATAATTTTAAAAATAAACTGTTCCAAAAATGGAGCTGTTTCTTTAAGATGTACTGGGTTTTCCCACAGAATGACTCAGAATCAAAGACATGTCAAACTGGAAACTATAAGTTTTTCTTCAGTGATCAGTAATGTAGGTCAGGGTTGTGTTGACAGTTGCTGTTATAGCAATGAACTCTGAATTAGTGCCAGTCTCTTAAATTTCTGTGAGGGAGCAGGGAGTAGAGATATCAAGGAGCTGATTACAGAAGTGGAACAATGTCCTGATAGATGGCAAGGTAAAAAATAAGCAAGTTCCTCAACCTTTGATAAGATTTTTTGTTTATATCTAAAACTGTCAGAAGCAGGCTTAAGGATTTTACTGTGTTCTTGTTCATGTTTTCTGTGAACATACTGCATAGCATGTGTTTGCAGAGATGGTACAAATACGTTGTCAACACTTATTTGCTGTAAGTAATGCTGCAGTATTAGTATACTAAGGTATACAGCACCTAACTGATTTAGGAAAGTAGGTCTCATTTTCAAAGGGATCCAGTCACTTAGGAGCTAAAATCCTATTTATAGTCTATGGGACTTAGGGTTTTAAGCGCCTAAATCACTTTTGAAAAAGAGACTTAGACACCTTAAGTCAGTTAGGTGTTGCAATGCTGAGTACTACAACACCTAATATCTTTAAAAATCTGGGCCTAGGAAATTTTTAGTCAGAGTTCTTGGTGGAGATGGGATCAAATCTCTAGTACAAGATATTGCTAAATTAGCAGGATGTTCAAATTCCAAGACTGCCTCTCATTTTGAAATTTGCAAATGGGCCCTATAAGTTTGCCAATTTCAAAACCATACTTTTTAATAACTCCCAAATCAGATAGTGTTTGAAACCCTGATCTAAATGTTACAGTTGGAGGACAGAAACATCTTCTTAAATAAGAACTTGTTAAAAGCATATGGGATTTTTTTTAATTTGCTAGTTTTAACTTGCAGGATCTTAACAGGATGTTGGCTGCTTATTTTTACCGGCTCAGATAAGGAAAGAATATGAAAGTTGGTGAAGAGATTACAGAGTATGTTTTAGCATCTCCAATGCAAAGGAAAATCCCAGTGCACTGTGCAAAAGGCAATACAAAGAGAAAAATCCCATATGTTTGTTATGCATTGGACCATGTAAATATGCAGTGTTAGTAAAGCCTTTTGAAATGTATTCGAGGTCGCTATGTACAGCAGTTGAAGAATTACCGTTTCCAATGGATTTTTTTTTTCAGATCATTGGAGTAATTTAAAAAACTATTTGGAAATATCTACTTCTGATCATTTTTCTATAGACTTAAGTACCAGTTTAAACAGAAGGTTAGAGCTATCATTGACATTCGGTTAGGGACAATCCTTTTAGGGACAATCCTGTTATCTCCTTGAGATCAGTTTCGAACTGAGATCCACAAATGCATAACCTCTCAAAATAGATATACCGATGACACCCCACTGAGAGCTAGCTGCAGCAGCATACTTTCATGTGCTTCAGGGTTGCAGTTGGTAGCTAATGTGTATGTGCAGATTAGGGATGTAAAAGCCTATTTAATCTGTTAACTGGTTAAACATGTTTAACCTGCTAACTACTGAAGTGCGGTATGGGGGGCACTCTAGCCCCCCCACCCAGCCAGAGTGAAGCTTACCAGTTAAGCATTCACATCCCTGGTGCAGATAGCCTCCCAAATGGATATGGTACCCCAGGAAGAGGTTTCAGGCCTGCTCGTCAGTAAATCAAAAATAAGTATGGCTGTGCCGGGTTTCACCAGCTCCAGATATTTCATAGTCTAACCTCTTAAGAGGCATCATCATTCAAGAATTCTTTCGTTTTATCCATGTTGCATCTAACTTAGGTCTCAGTGTAAAAGTCCAGCACTGAGTAGTATCATGTGGATTTCTGGCATTTTCTGGAAGGCTGTGGGTTCATAACAAAGAAAATGGCCAAAATGATATGGAGGGATTGAAACTAGGTGTAAAGGCATCAATTTCAGCAAGGACAAATTTAGACTGAGTCTTAGAGAAGACTCTTAGGGTATGTCTACACTACAGCGTTATTTCGAAATATCTCCTTTTGAAATAGTTATTTCGAAATACCATGTCTACACACAAAATGCATTTCGAAATAGCTTTTTGCTATTTCGAAATAGCACGTCCACACTGATTGGACATTGAATTGCATTTAAGGCCAGCCGGAATTGGTTCTGGCAGGGCATCAGGTCAGAAGTTACCTTGTGGCCAGGGTGGCCAGCAGGGCACCCTGGGAAGGGCTGGAGGTCCCCTATTTCAAAATAAGTGCCTACACCACTCTTATGTCGAAATAGCAATTTCAAAATTGGCACTATTCCTCGTGGAATGAGGTTTGCCAATTTCAAAATAAGCCCTCCGCTATTTCGAATTAATTTCAAAATAGCAGTTGGCTTGTGTAGACGCTAGGAAAGTTATTTCAAAATAATGGCTGTTATTTCAAAATAACTTTGCTGTGTAAACATACGCTAAGCTTCTAATGGGAAATAGAAAACACATTGTCCAGGACTTTTAAAACTAGACTGGATGACCCACTAGAGAAAATTACTGCACAAGTTAGGGGAAGATAAAAACAATCTAATAGCATTAGAGATAGAACACACCTAAATTATAGCTCTCATCCTGTAAAGACATGCTGGTGCTCATAAAGGATAGTCTATTGGTGATCAAATCCAGACCACCAGATCCTATTGAACAAACTGCAAACGCTTTTCATTTACTGATTTTCATTATTGTTATGTGATGTGAAAAATGTTTCTCTGGCATCTGGACTTTGACCAGACCTTGACCAAGAAATTTGGACCTTGACAAAAAGTAATTGACTACCCCTTGCACAATCCCCTTGCATGTGAATAGTTCGATTGAAGTCTCTAGAACTGCTTATAATAAGGACAATTATTCATCTATAACTGGAGCTTTCTGAGTATATTCTCTCTGCAGATCTGGGAAAGTGCGCTTTGAGTCCATGAGTTTGCTACTCGCTGGAATGTTGGGATATTTGGGGCCATTTGAATTCCTCTGTACATATCCAAATGTTTGGAGCAAGGCTAAATCTCGTTAGTCTTTTTCCTACTGCCATGAGCAGTGAGGTCTCAGACCCATGCTCCATCTACTTTTTGACCTTTTTAATCCTGTCCTTTTACCCATTAATTAGTTTTAGAATAATTGTAATTTCGCTTAGTGTTTATTTTTTTGTGAAATAGCTGTTTAGAAGCTGCATGGCTCCCCTGAGCATTCCCTGGCTCTGTCTGCTGCCCCATGTGTGCCTCCCATGATATCCTGCCTGCTCTGGGTGTGAGTGGCTGTCCCCTGCAGCTCCATGCTATGCTCCCTTGCTGGCCACTGCTGGGGGAGGGGCTTTTAAAAGTGGGCGGGTTGACGCCCACCCACTCCTGGGTTTCAAATAGAGCCACTGCTGTGGCTGGCTACAAGAGAGTGGGGCACAGGGCAGGCTGGGGCAGCAGCTGTGTCTATGGAGGGAGGGAGTGCATGGAAGCCCTCCCTCCCCATGCAAGAAACTCTGAGTGTGTGGGGGAAATTATCCTGGCTGGAATTCCTGAGCAGGAGCCTGGAGAGGCTTGGGTGAGTGTCTGGCTGGGGCAGAGGGGGAAGAAAAAGGGGGCCTCCTCTTAGAGCTTGCTGCTGCTGGGGGACAAGCCGCGGGGGAACCCTCTTCTCTGGCCCCCTAACCCAGCTCTGGGGAAGCCTTCCTGATGCACCCCAATCTCCTCATCCCCACCTCCACCTCATGCCCCACATCCCAAACCCCTGCTCCAACCCAGACCCCACATCCAAGACCCCCTCTCACACGCCAGCTCCCGTCCTGAGCCTGCCCCGCTCCCACACAAACTCCCTGCCAGAGCCTGAGGCAGGTGTGCAGGGTGGGACATGAACCTGTCCTAGGCATCACCAACAATTATACAAACCTGCTGCCCCTGGCACAGGCAGCAAGTTATATGGGCCCATGGTGCCCGTGCTCTACCAATATTTAGGAACATGGGCCCAGCTCCACCAATGGATGGGTTTATATTTTCAGTACTGACCCATCCATCTGAAGGACCGGGGCAACTAACCTGGGCCCCATGCTTTGGGGGCCCCTGGGGTTCAGGGGGATGTAGAAGTCAGGTAGGCCGGGGTGGGGGTGGGGGTGGGGGAGTTGCAGGAGGCCTGGTGCTGGCAACAGCAATCAGTCTGGCCCCAGCCCACTCTGCAACAGCCCTGCCCTGCCTCTTTCCGGCTTTCACCCCTTCCCCCAAGAAATGCCCATAGACACTGGGGTGAGGCTGAGCTCACTGCTATCAGAACAATGCCCCCCAGTGGACTTTCAAGCTGCCCTCAACCCCACATGACACTGAATCTTGGGGTCCCAATGCACAGGGCCAGGGCATCTGCTTTGGTCCATCCTATGGATGGGATGGCTCTGCCTGGACCATTTATGGGCACTTCCAAAAATTAAGCAATCCTGGCACCTGTGCCTGTGCCCCCCTAGGAAGGTGATCCCACAGTTTTGGGACAACTGGTCTTCTACAATAATCAGGTTGCCATGAAGTTTAAAGCCAAGATTTTCAAATGTGCCTAGTGAATTTGGATTCTCAGCTTTGAGACTGTCTTGAAGAGGCTTGATTTGGAGAAAGTGCGGAGTACCACCCCTTGGCCTCTTTAAAGGGTTTCAAGCTGGGCTGCAAGAGACACCCAACATTACTAGCTCCTCAGAGGCTTAATCTAAAACCTCTAGTCTGAGGGCACCTGTGCAATAGGTCAGGAGTTGAAAGGCTAAAAAATTACTCAGTTTCCTTACCAAAGAGAATGTTACTGGGGACAAAAATCCCCTTCATGATCAGAACAGGCGAGAAAGTGTTTTAGGAAAGTAGAAAGTACTCAAGTGAATTTGCAGTAGGTGTGACATCTTTCTTAAGAAATCAAAGTCTAGCTGAAAGGCAAAACAGAAGAAAGAAATAGAAACAGGAGAAACAAAGTCATAACCACTAGGCACAAGTGCTCCACTTTATGGCAAGTCATTCTCCTTTTCTCTAATTGACAGTAAGGAGCCAGATAAAAGCAGGAGTTGTGGGTGGTCAGCACCTCTGAAAATCAAGCCACATCTACTTTAGGAATTCATCATTGAAGACGTAAGATCCCACTTTATAGCTTGTGCAACCTTCCTTCTGTAGCAAACCCTAGCCCTGGAACCCAAATCCCAATCCTTGCCCTAATCCTAACTCAGATCCCTTAATGTTACTTCCTCGGCCCAGATCTAAGCAACACCTTGCCAAATTCACACTGGGTGTAACTCTGTTGACTTCAATGCAATTGTACCTGCCATGAATTTGGTCCCCTGTCATCATCAGCACCTAGGGTTCATCCTACTTGGACAAAATTTTCTGTTCTAATGATACGGGAAATAGGCCCATCTGTAGGTCTGGAAGTGACGTTATAGGACCAACAAAAGCAGCATGTACAGGACCTAGCAAGACATTTGGTGTTTGAGGTTCTGATATTGGCCTCTCATGTTAGAACCAGGACTCAGCATTGCATTTTTTGTTGTGAGAAAGGTCTAATCTTAATTTAATTTTTTCAGAGGCCATGCTGTTTCCCTGACATCAGGCACTAACCAGGCCATGGTTAGATTTAAAGTGGCAATGGCGTTCCATATACTCTTTGGCTGGATTTACAGAGGTATAGTCTGTCTTCCATCTCACCACTTCTCTGTGCGGAATTCAGGAACAATTATTAGTATAATTTTGTGTCTGTGAAATCAATGTATCTGAAGAAATATAATGGAGCACAGAACAGCTAAACAGCCAAGTATAAAGTGAATGTAGCTGAAATAAGATATACAAACTATTTTGGGGCCTTCTTTTAGCTGTTTCACACCTACAGACATTTAGCGAGGTCTCATTTTGTTGCATATCTTAAAAGTCAGAGGCTTCAATGCAGCCACTCCTTTCCAGGAAGAACAGATCACATCTGATATGTCTCAGAAGCTAAGTTTTTCTTTTCTGATGCTGAGCTGTAATCTGATCATGAGGGGCCCTTGTACTTCTAATCTTACACTATTGTGGCTCTGCCTTAATCCACTTATGTTTGCTTTAGCTCAGATCCGTTTATAAAAGCTCATCTCCCTATAGTTGCTGTTAAAGCACAGTCTGAAATTTGTGAAATTGCAAGTTGGGTGATTCCTATCTGAGCTTTCATTGCCTACTGCTGACATTTCATAGAGTCAGGTTCTGCGTGCCCTCAGAGGAGAACGTGGGGGTGTGAAAGGTGAGGCACTCCCTTAACCTTCTTCAGTGTAATCTGTATTAGTGAGGGCAGTGCAGAACAGAGAACAGCATGTATGGACCCACCTCGTTATCCCCTCCCACACCGATGGAACCTTGGCTTCATGCCTACAATGAACCAATCAGTGTATGACAGGGTGTAGGAGAGGCCACCTTTTCTCATGCTCTTTGTCAGACCAAGGTGACACTCAGAGTAAAACCAACTTGGAATGAAAATCAGTTTCCCCAGTCTGTTTCTTTGTCAGCTGCATGCTGCCTCATATGGTGGCAAAGGTGCTGCTGACCTTACACTAATTGGTGCTGCTGTCAGTTAAGTATGTAGTCATTGATAAATACTGGCCATTGGGCCATATTCTGACATCCTTGTTAATGTTCACTAGCACCTTGCTTCCCAGGAGATCCCATTACTTTCAAAGCGAGTGATATCTCAGGGTGCATCTACACAGCAGGGCTTAATTGGAAATAAGATACGCAAATCGAGTTATGTTTATTGCGTAGCTTATTTTGAAATAGGAAGCATCGACACAGCACTTATTTTGAAATAGAGCACTCTTCTTCGGACTTCCCTTACTTCTTATAAAATGAGGGTTACAGGAGTTGGAATAAGAAATCCTCTAGCTTGACAGTATTTTGACATTATTTCAAAATAACTGCCTGCTGTGTAGACGCAGACTAAGTTATTTTGAAATAATGTTGCTGTGTAGATGTACCCACAGAGTGCATCACCCCCCTTACTCAGTCAGCATCTGTTTTAGAGGGTCTGGAAGACAGGGGCTTCTGTACTCCAGGGTTCGAGCCACAAATTTTTGCTGAAGAGATGGCCTCCTTAGCATGACATTGTGATCTAAACTCTAAGCTCTCATTAGCTATCCATAGCTGTGCATGTGGGCATGCACACGCAAGTTAAATACTGGCTCCATTAACTTCATCAGCAAAACTCCCACATACTTCAATGGACTAACTGAAGTGTAGGAGCATAAGCTTTCGTGGGCAAAGACCCACTTCGTCAGATGCATCTGACGAAGTGGGTCTTTCCCATGAAAGCTTATGCTCCTACACTTCATTTAGTCTATAAGGTGCCACAGGACTCCTTGCTGCTTTTGCAGATTCAGACTAACACGGCTACCCCTCTGATACTTCAATGGTGACAGGTTTTCAGACCTTCCCCACAACTACATTTCTGCTCTGATAGAATAAGGGCAATTTATTGCACATTCCTCTAAACATGGATGGCAAGTAATCTGATCCAGTGTTGTATTTAGAAGTCTACAGACAGTCTGAAATAAAATCAATTGATTCCAATCAGGTGCTAATGACAAATTGTCATGAGATAGTTTATGATGAAAATTTTACAATTTCACTGATCATCTTTGATTAAAAAACAAACAAAAGGAAGTATTTCTTCATACACAGTTAACCTGTGGAACTCATTGCCAGAGGAAGGCCAAGACTATAACAGGGTTTAAAAAAGAACTAGATAAATTCATGGAGGATAGGTCCATCACTGGCTGTTAGTCAGGATCAGTGTTCCCTCTAAGTTGGGTGTGAGCACAGCTTCATAGGTGATTAATCAGCCCCGCCCAGTCAATCAGCTCCATGCAAGGAGGAGCCCTGAGACTTTGAGTGGGCAAGGCTGATTAATTACCTGTGAAGCTGTGCTGCTGAACAGCTTAGAGGGAACACTGGTCAGGATGTGCAGGAATGGTGTCCCTAGCCTTTGTTTCCCAGAAGCTGGGAATGGGCAACATGGGATGGTTCACTCGATGATTACTTGTTCTGTTCATTCCCTCTGTGGCAACTTGCTTTGACCATGGTCAGAAGATACTGGGCTAGACAGAACTTTGGTCTGACCCAATATGGCTGTTCTTATGTTCTTAAACAAGTACTTTTCACGTAGTTTCAATGCAAAAGTCTAAGACAAACTTAAAATGCAGGTTCAGATTACATTTAGTATCATTATAAATAGTACAAGGGATATTAGATTGATGGCATCATTCATTTTTTAAAAAGTAACACGTAGTTCCTATATAATGCTTTTCATCAACAGATCTCAGGGGGTATGTCTACACTACCACCCGAGTTCGAACTAGGGTGGTTAATGTAGGCAACCGAAGTTGCAAATGAAGCCCGGGATTTAAATATCCCGGGCTTCATTTGCATCTTGCCGGGCGCCACCATTTTTAAAGCCCAGGTAGTTCGGACTCCGTGCCCGCGGCTACACGCGGCACGGAGTAGGTAGTTCGAATTAGGCTTTCTAATTCGACCTACTGTTACTCCTCGTTCCACCGTTACTCCTCGCTCCTCAAAAGCCTAATAGCTTCATTTGCAACTTCAGTTGCCTACATTAACCACCCTAGTTCGAACTAGGGTAGTAGTGTAGACATACCCAAAGTGCTTTACAAGAGAGGTTCATAACTTAATCAATAGATGCCTCCATTGTTTAAACTGCATCTGAAGTAGATACAGAAGTTCCAGGATGCCACTCTAGAGTACTGGAGGAACCAGGTACAATTATCTAACTTTGTTCATTAAGGTCTGGTTTCAAGCAGTGGTCACTGGAGTCATTTGACTAGTCAAAAAGAAGTATAGCCAAATACACTGCATAGCTGAAACATTAGCATCTTCTATTTAAAGCTTTATTACAATCAACTTATGCTTTCACAGGTGTCATAAACCTTCGCTGCGCTGGACACGTGTGGATTGAACCAGCTCCAGTCATTCAGATGGGCTTGAACATTTCTATAAATTGCCACTCTACAGTAAACTGCCAAAAGGCAAAGTTATACATGATACTAAATGATACTACTCAAATAGACGACAAATTATTAACAAGAAACAAAACCACACTGCAACTTCAGCTTCATGATTTCAGAAAACCATTTTCCACCGTCATATGTTATGCCAAGTGTGGCCACACAGACGTGTTAGTATGTGGAACACAATTTTCTGCAGGATGTAAGTAATTTACTGGATGTATGATGGCTTTTCACTAATTCTAGTTCATCCCAGTTAAGCTGCTATTAACTATTACTTCTTCCCAGTCAGTGTTGAGGTGCTGGGAACTGCAGGCTATTTTCAGATAATATTTTTAGATGCTCCTTCCTGACCCCTCCTCCCCCAAACAATGTTGGTATATTTTCCAGTTGAAAAGTTAAACTTCTATTTTTAATTTTATTTAGCAATAAAGGGTTTGGGGGCTTGTTAGTAATTCAATATATATATTGTAGTTAACCAGCAAGTTATGTTGTAACTGAAGTCATCTGATATACATTATTAGTAGCAACTTCGGTGCAAACGGCTGTGTAGGTATCTAAACATGATACTGAAACTATCCTTCTTTCACTGTCCTATGCTTGGTCAAATGGCAAGGAGCTACTGAAATCCGAGTCAAGTAGCAGAAGTAACGTAGTGCATGTAATACCAAGCTATCACACCACCTAACTCCTATAGAGCACTTTTTAAATGGTAGATTTCAAACCACTTTACAGGGAGGTCACTACCATTGTCCCCATTTTATGTATAGGAAAACTGAGGCATCGAGAGGCAAACTGATGTGCCACAGTTTACTTCCTTCCACACTCTCATTAGTATGGATACCCTGATGTGTGGAGCTGAGAGGAGAAAAATGGAGCAGCCAAAGTGCTGAAGGAGTTGAGGAAAAGATGGTTTCCTTTCCAAATTTGTGCATTTTATGCAGGCATGGCTGAACAATTTCTAATGCTGTGCTGTGTAACATTAAATCCCTTCCCCATGTCTCTTATCACAGCAGCTACATGAACCTTCTGCTGGCAAGAGAGCCGTACAGTCAGATGTATCACCAGTGTGCTTGATTGAGTGTGCTGGAAGTCACACATCTGGCCTGGGATTAATACCGTTTGGGCAGTCTTTGCTTTCAGATCCTAGGCTGCTGCCTATCAGCATGTGGTAGGCTGTCCCCCAACCCATCATGCATACCTTCCTCACTGTACCCATGGGAAAAATACTACTTATCTACCCCACAGAGGTAACAAATCATCATAACAAATACATGCCATCCATGTGATATCTGGGCCCCACTGGCATGGCTTAAATGGACTCATTAACATTATAAATTAGAAAGAGCAAACACACAACATTTCCCTGGAGCCTGTAGCTTTAAGAGTGAGAGAAGGAAATCTCAACTTGCAGAGGGAGGTGTCCACTTAGCTTTACTGATGTGGCCACATTAAGTGTGCTTCTGGCAGAGTGCATTGCAGAGGTGCCAGGCATGCTGTACCAGCAGCCGGGGGACAATGAGTTCCCATGTTCCAATCCAATGGAAGATTAATGTAATCAATACTGATGGAAAATGTTAAAGTCTCAGTTAAAACCCACTATGGAAAGACACAGGCCGGGCTGCCCTTACCCATACAAAGAATATGCAGCAGTGTAAGGCACCTGAAAATGTGGGGGCATCACTGGGTCTTAGTTTCCACCCACTGGTCTCTTCCCTGCTTTCTGGCTCTGCTTCCTGTGGAGAGGATCTAGTTCAAAGTGAAAGAGCCTGCCAGAATCTTGAACCTGTGAAAGAGCCATTCAAGTGGTAATGAAGCCATTAATAGGGATTTGTCTATCCCAGGTACATGCTGTGAGCTTCTGAATTGCCTGTGTTAGTCTACAAAGGACCTTAGTTTAATTTGCTTTGAAAATATTTCATGTGTGTGTTGCTGAAGATTATAAAGTCACATCTCTAAAAAAAGTCAGCATCCCAAACCCAGCTGCCATTGAGCATATGGGTACCAGTGTAATAGTGGTGCATAGAGCCCCATATATCCTACAGACGGTCCTGGGCACAGAAGAACACAATCATCTGACTCTGGTATCCAACTGTTATGGGACAAGGCAGCACATCTTCATAACTTCTGTTCAAAGATATAGACATGCATGTGTAGGTTCTATAGGACATTACAGTTTCAAATGTCTAAACGTCCAGTCCTTAACGATTGACTGGGCATATATTTGTATATCATCTATCTTTGCAGATCCACCGGACAGTCCAACCAATTTATCTTGTGTCATTTATGAACATTCAGACCACCTGACTTGTACTTGGGACCCAGGGAAACACACCTACTTAAGTACTAAGTACATTCTCTACCTGAAGAGGTAAGTCTTGCCATGACAGCTTCTTGCTGTGCTTAATTGAAAACCAAGAACAACTGAAGTACAGGGCTCTCTATGCAGCTCAGGAGAGGGCTCTGAGCATTTGAATGGAATAAGAGCAGGAGGCCCTCACTGATTCCCTCACTTACAAGATGCTTTGTGGTAACGGTGCTAAGGGCATGAAAAGAAAACCGAAGAACAAACTAGGTTAGTTGGGGGCAGCAGGTAAGACAGAGAAGTTCTGTAATCTGGAGCTCCAGTATGACTGTACAGTCTAAACATGTGTGGTCAGAGCAACAGCAGCCACAAACCAAGTACGATTATACACATGCTCTAGTTTTGATGACTGGAAAGACAGAGTGTCCTACTTACACTTTCTAGAACACTGCCTTACTGATCTCTTCAGCTCACATGAACTGCTCTGTGTATCTGGGTCGATCTTATTTAACACCAGGTGGAGGTATTAGGATTTAAATTTTTTCAGATTTACATTTCCGTTCAGTGTTGATGTCTAATCAGTGCTATTTAGCTCGTAGTTGAGGATGTGTTTCTGGTAGTCAAACCTAAACCAAGAATGTAAAATAAAAGCCACCTTTCTATTCAATAGTCCTGATTTAGGCTTTTTGTGTTATGTTAGGTGTACGCTGACGAATCTCGAGCTCGTAGGACTCCGTGGATTTATTCCTCTGTAAAACTGAACTTGTGCAGTGGGGGAGCAGGGCCACGTGCTCTGTTGGGAGGTGCTAGACAGTATTAGTTATCGGTAACACTTAGCCTTCCCAACAAGATCAGGGCCCCATTCTGCTAGGGACTGTACAGACACGGAGTTTAGCTATGCTGCAATTGGATGGGCAACTGAATCACATATCCACACTGTATCTTTAATCTAGCTAGTGTGCGTAACAAGAGCAGTGAAGACATGGTGGCACAGTTAGTATTACAGACTAACAACAGTAGTATGTGCCGAGAGTTCCAGGCAGGTGTGTATAGCCAGCTCTGGGGTCCATGCCTCTGTGTCTTCACTGGTCTTTTTAGCTGTGCTCGCAAGATTAAATCTAGTATGGGTTTGCCTACTCAAGCTGTAATCCCCCCTCCAATTATAGAGTAGACACACACATAGCAAGAGGTGGCTTCCTGCCCCAAAGATCCTTACAATCTAAGCAGACAAGCCAAAGAGAGGATGAAGAGGAAAATAATATCCCCATTTTAGAGAGGAGGCACAGATAGGTTAAGTAACAGCCTTAGGTCACATAGGAAGTTTGTGATAGATCCAAGAATTGAACCATCTTTTCTCAGTAGCATACACGTACTCATGACACTTAACAGCAGAGGGAAAACTGACTGCCCACAGATTAATAAAAAACCCCACAGTGAAATGGAACGTGAGAAATAGGCAAGTCAGAAACAGAAGGTGGGGTGGAGAAGAAAGGAAATCTAAAGTAAACCTTCTACCCTCAAACATATGGCATGTTTGTCAGCAAGGACCCAATATCCAGAGATAGTGTCAAGTTGTTTAACCAGCTCTCAAAGAGGTCCTGTGATACTGTGATCTACCACAATGTCTTGAGATTCTAAAGCAACTATTTAAATAAATGTTCAAATGCTATACAGGCAACGCCTAACTTACAACCGCCCAACTTACAACCCCCTCCCCCTCGCAATTACAACCATTTTTTTCCATGAGAGATAGCTCCTAAAACCCCCCAATTTACTTGAGCAGCTAGCATTTATGACGGTGTACAACGCAGATTCCACGCATCATCACAGGAAACATACAAATCAGTCAAACTTGCCAGTCTGCAGCTGCTGCTTGAACTGCACGTGTCTCCACCACATCAGTCTTCACTTTTTAGTTATTTTTGTGCATTATTTGAACTATTTAGTTTAGTTTTCCTCCATTTCTGTAGTCAATTTTGGTATTTTTAGGGTATGAAATGGATTTCCAGGAATGGAATCACCATTTATAACATTGCACCTATGAGAAATAAGGGTTTGACTTATGACGGCTCAACTTACCACGGTTCTCCAGCAACCAATTAGGTTGTAAGTGTGGGGCTCACCTGTAGTGGTGACTGCAGAATTCTTCCTCATTGCTTAGCTCCTATCTGTAGTTTAGGCTTTTTAAGTAGCTCCACAGAACTGAATACAGACTCCATTCCACTGAGAAAAACACAACACTGTGAGCAAACTGATGTACAAACAAATATGCAGTGAATGAGAAATCATCATCTTTCTTTTTTTCAGAATTCTGGTAATGGGAAATAATTAGGTTAAGAGACAACAAAGTAGTAGGAAAAGCCCTTATTGCATCAGTATTGATTTGACAATGGCGTATATTGCTAAAGAAAGTGGTGGCATCACTAGCCCGCCGGTCATCCTATTAGGACTGGGTGACCAATTGTTCCAGGATGTAGGCTATAGCCACAGTACAGGAGGATCAATTTATTATCATACCACTAATCTTAAATGAGTTAATGGGCTGCAGGAGGTAAGACAGGATATAAAACTGATGTAACAATGCAGTGGTTCTACCATCTCAGGGATTATGAATTTAACTTGTATTGGTTTAAACTCTTTCCTCACTTTATTGAAGTCAATGACCAAATACCCATTGGCCTTAATAGGGGGAGGAATTCACTGCGGATGCTTTTTGCTTCTTAGTTTACAAACAGAGGAGGAGGAAGCATTTCCTTCAGATGAAATTCTCAACATTCCATTGAGCAAACTACAAGGAGGCAAACTGTATGCTGTTTGGGTCCAAGCCAAAAACGTCTTAGGCACAGCCCATTCAGAGCATCTGCAAGTTAACCTGGAGGATTTAGGTAACATACGGTAATTCAGTAATGGCTTTGCAAGCAGGTTGTAATATGCATGAACTACAAAAACCCTCACCAGAGTGATAAAATCTATATCTAGATGGATGTGCAGAACTGAAATTTTCTTATGAACATTGGTAATAAATTACACACCATTGCACACAGAATACCATTTAACATTAGGGAAACAGCTGTTGATGTGCATTTTGATACACTGTCACACTGTCAGCTACTCTAGATCAGTGTTTCTCAACCTTTTTTTTATAAAGTATCCCTTTAAAAATTATAAATACCCCCACTACTTACAGTTCACAGACACAAGATTTTTTTTTCTACCATCACAACACATTTGTTTAAACAATTTAATCGTAGCCAGGCAGGTGATGAAATGTTTTAGGTGTAAAAAGTACAAAAATAATAAAGCACTGTAAAAGAAAAAAATTCAGTTCTCCCAATTTCGGTTGTGTTGATGTAACCCCCAGATTTCTCTCAAGTACTCCTAAGGGTACTCGTACCACTGGTTGAGAAACACTGGTCTAGATGATGCTTGGTCCAGCCATGAATGTGGGGGACTAGACTTGATGATCTCTCAAGGTTCCCTCCTGTTCTATTATTCTATGGGCCTCTCATTTGTTTTTTGCAAGTTGGTCTGTTGGTCAATATTCTTTTACTAGTCACTATACTCTATCCTTAGTTTTTTTGTGATGTGCTGGATTTGAGTAAGGGTATGTCTACACTTGCTCCCTCTTTCGAGAGAGGGATGCAAATGAAGACATTCAAAATTGCAAATGAAGCCAAGATTTAAATATCCCGTGCTTCATTTGCATAATTGCGTTATTTTGAAATAGCGCTATTTCAAAATAAAACACGCTGTGTAGACGCGTTATTTCAAGAGAAAACCCTTCTCTTGAAATAACTGTTAAACCTTATTTTATGAGGAATAAGGGTTATTTCGAGAGAAGAATTTTCTCTCGAAATAACGTGTTCACACAGCATCTGTTATTTCAAAATAGTGCCATAACATGATTATGCAAATGAAGCACGGGATAGTTAAATCCTGGCTTCATTTGCAATTTTGAATGTTTTCATTTGCAGGGCTCAACAAATTATGTAATCTACTCGCCTGTGGCGAGTAGATTACAACCCGGAAGAGCCAGGTTCGGGCAATCTGCCCATGTGCAGAACGATCTACACATGTGCAGATCGACGGACAGCGCGGCTGGCGAGCAGGGCTCGCCGCAGCTCGGCGAGCCCTGTTCATTTGCATCCTTCTCTCGAAAGAGGGTGCAAGTGTAGACATACCCTAAAGTACTTGTCGTTTAACATTGAAAGCCTGTGATTTGGTTGCAGTTACAGAAGATATTCACACTTTCTATTATTTCCAACATTAAATTCACAGTGAAAGTATAAAACTGATTAATGGAAGGTTTTCTTTAACTGACAGTGATACTGTACAGCACTTGTTATCTGATAGGGCTTTTTTAACAGGTTAAGCTGAAAAAAATCAAGATATATTTTTCTCCAAAGAACAACTGTCCTTCGTGATGAAGTATATAAATCATTATAGCAGAGCATATACTGATGCCATTTTCTTCATAGGCCCAGAATAGATTAATCATTCTTTTGTCTCTCTTGTAGTGATACCAGCGACACCTATTATCACCAAGGTTGAAACAACAGACAGTTCTTCCCCAAAAACCATAATCCATTGGCAAAAGCAAACATCATTTGAGAACGTTTATTGTGAAGAGAGATACAAAGTGCTGGCAGATCAAACGTGGCATGTGAGTCAACCCTTTCTCAGCTAATTAACATGGGCCTGCTGCTGCTCCCATTGATATCCATGACAAAACTACCATCAGTGGGAGCAGGATTTGGCACTGCATGAAAGATCACTGGGCTAGGTTATTGATACCAATTCTCTGATGTTTTTAATGCAGCCATTTGCTGTGTTCAAGTCATGCAAGGAGAATGTCTATGAAACAAGGATTTGCAAATGATGCATGTCCTACCTATGGACATAATAACACCATAACAAGAGTATTTGGGGGTGTTGTTTTTAAAACATATTAAATTAACTAAGTTCCTGTGATAGCTGCAAAGCGGCTAATCCTGGTGTCGTAACTCTTCTGTTTATTGAGACAGGTACAGCACTGACAGAATAGCGCGAGTTCCTTTGCTCTGGACTATGTATGCGCATCAAACTAACATGGGGAAACCACCTCTGAGGGGGACACTAAGATTTTTCCATTGAATCTCCTAATGGAAGTCAATTAGTGAGGTTGCTTTTGTGCAGTGGACGCCTCCACACTTATCTGGATTGAGACTACCTGTTTGTTTTACATAGTAATCACATGGCTGTTGGATTGTCTAACTTCATAAGTGCATTTGTGACTTACCCTTTAAATTCTGGCAGAGGGATGAAGATTAGGCAGGTTAACATTGCAAATGAGGCAGGATTTAAATATCCCGTTCCTAATTTGCATAAAAATGGCCACTGCGTTTTGCCGACTCAGCACTTTGTCGGCAAAAAGCGGCAGTCTAGAGGGGGATCTGCCTCTTTTTGCTGACAAAGTGCTGAGTTGGCAAAATGCAGCAGCCATTTTTATGCAAGTTAGGCGCGGGAAATTTAAATCCTTGCCTCATTTGCAATGTCAACCTGCCTAATCTGAATCCCTCTGCTGACAGAGGGATGCAGTCCAGACATACCCAAACAGGTGATTTGAAAGAGAGAAGGCTCCAACTGAGCTATTCAAGTAATACCTGCAGCCACATGCAGACTTTCATTGCTTTGTAACTCAAAATAGTTTACCTCTGTACTTGCAGAATTCTTTAGATAAACCCTGTACCTAGCAAAGGAAAAGTAACACAATAGTCAAGATAGTTCCCAGTGTTATTCCTATGTCAGAGTTTAGATTAAATCACTTCCAAACTGAGCTAGAAAAAGTTATTCATATGAGAATACGAGTGTCCTCCAGGGGAGTTATACTACCATAACTATTGAGGATTAAATTCACAACTTACCGCTTATTGGTATAATGTCCAACATAGTAAATCCCTAAGCAAGGAGGTTGCTTTTGTAGGTCTATGCAACATCAGATGCTTAGGGCTCCATTTTGCACCACCCATGATTTACTGTGCAAAAGGTCCTGGGTGTATGTAGAGAACTTTCTCCACCCCTGATACTGCTAGAGGCATGGCACAATTCCAGTCTTTCCATTTGGCAGCTACTCCTTTCTCCTGACTCCCCCAGAGGTGCAAACAGACAAGAAAGGGACAGGACTATGGCTACGCCCCTTCCACATTGGCCAGGGATACGGCTCTAGGCTAAGGCACAGTGCAGTGCCCACACTGATCCTGTACTCTTGGGAGCTCTGGGAAGACTGATGCTGACTCCCTCCACTGGGGCAGGACTTGCTATAGTGTCATTAATAGGTTCCAATACGTTAGAAAGAATGTCTAATTTCACAAGGTTACGTTACTACAGCTTGGAAAGTTATATTGTTTGTCAATTTTAGATGAAAGGATGGAACATCAATGTGACAAATGTGCCACACATGGAGTATTACTTGGAGTCAAACACAGAGTATGAATTTCAAGTGAGGTGCCGATTAATACGTGCCCAAAGCTATTGGAGTGGATGGAGCGTGCCCTTTGTTTACTCAACCCCAGAAGCTGGTGAGTTCATACCCAGGCTTGCAAGGGGATTTCTCCATCTCCAGCTCGCTTGCATCACTTTTTCTCTGCTTTTAAACTGAATGAGAGGGCTCCCCTATTTGAGGCAGTTGTCCAAGAGAGTGGAATGGTGCAGAACTGTGCTCTTGAACATGCAGAATCAGTGCACTTCAGGTGTTCCTTCCTGGAGCAGCAGATCCCATATCAGCGCATGCTAGATGGAAGTCTAGCTATGCCTGACCCCTGCCAGCCTACCAGAGTCCCTGTGGGCCAGGGTGCAAGGAATGGAAGTGTTAGCTGGGTCCACCTCTTGGTGCTCTCAATCATTGAGGGGGAATCCTGCCTCTGTGCTATGATGTTGATTAAGAAGCATTCTTGCATCTTCTTCCTCTTTAATCCAACAGAGAAACCAGAATTTCTCCCTTACAATGTAAAACTGGAATGTAGCATTTGATTTTCGAATCAGACTAAATGTTTAAAAAAAAAGTCACTTAAGCCATGCCCTATGGGACAATCTCTCTTGCTGCAAACACTTCCCACTTCTGGTTGGCAGACTATAGGGGAATAAATATATTTGTAATGGCATATGACACACCATTTCATACCTTAAAAGCATAAAGGGGATGTTTTTAAGAAGGGCTGAGGTATAACCTCCCTTTTCTGACCTGCACTTAGGTAGCTAGAGGTGCAGATATCCAGGTTTGCGCCTGCACTTCACACACACACACACACACACACACAAATGCAAATGTATGTGCAAAGAGATTGACATTTTGTAATGTTTGGCCTTCAACTTTTCTGTGATGTTTATCCAATCAAGATAGATTTCATTTAGTTAATGCCATGATTCAGCCCATGGAGACACCCTTTCACGTCACTTGTTGCTCAAAATCTTGCCTCTTTCTCCAACAGAAGTTGGTCCAGTATAAGATATTACCGCTTCCACTTTGTGGATGTCTCTCTAATACCCTGGGGTCAACTGGGCTTAAAAAAAGACTGCAAATAACAACTCCAACTCATCTGAGGAAGTGGGTTGTACCCACAAAATCTCAAGATATGATATAATATATTTGTTAGTCTCCAAGGTGCCACAGGACTAGCTATTGTTTTTTAAGCATATAGAAAAGTTAACATAGGAGATCTGGAGTCAGGACATTATGATTCCATGCCTGGCTTTGACAATGACTGAGGCATCATTTTATCCTCTCTCTGCCTCTGAATATATACCTGCTGGATGGGTACAACTCACATCTATCTCAGAGGGTTCTTATGAGTCTTAACATATATAAAAAACCTTCCTAAGAAAGGTGTTGATATGAACACAGAGGCTGTGTCTAGACTGGCAACTTTTTCTGCAAAATCAGATGATTTTGCGGAAAAACTTGCCGGCTGTCTACACTGGCCGCTTGAATTTCAGCAAGAACACTGACGATCTCATGTAAGATCGTCAGTGTTCTTGCGGAAATACTATGCTGCTCCCGTTCGAGCAAAAGCCCTCTTGCGCAAATCATTTGCGCAAGAGGGCCAGTACTGTTTTGTGCAAAAAAGCCCTGATGGCTAAAATGGCGATCAGGGCTTTTTTGCGCAAAACCTTGTCTAGATTGGCCACGGGTGCTTTTCCGCAAAAGTGCTTTTGTGGAAAAGCATCCATGCCAATCTAGACGCGCTTTTCCGAAAATGCTTTTAAAGGAAAACTTTTCCGTTAAAAGCATTTCCAGAAAATCATGCCAGTGTAGACGTAGCCAGAGTGGCAGTGCTAGCTTCTGCCTCATGTTTTTAATGAGCTAGTAAAACAGCTGCTTTACCTATTCTGCCTTTGCTCATAATGCAGCTGGCTCTCCTCTGCCCTGGCCAGTGCAGTGTGACACCTTCCTTAGATCACTGCCTCCCAGCAGGGGCACGTGCAGGAACAGTAGAGCAGCACCATCCAAAGCTTGAGCTAAACCCACTGCAGTCAAGGAGAGCCATTGACTGGGGGGCTGGTGGCAGGGGACCTTCCCTAGTGCCACAAATTCCCCCATTCGGGACAGGTCAGGTCCCGACGGAGCCAGATTGGGGGGTCCAATCTATAGATCCGTAAACAGCACCCAGCGTTACCACTACACCAGTGTTTTGCTGGTGCCCTCTGCTGGCTAATACATAGTACAACATTGTCAGTAGCCAGAAAGCTTGTGGGTTAGGCTAGGGTCTGCACCAGGGCTACTCAATTTTGGAAGCCCCAGGGGCCACAATGATACTCACAGTACATGCTGAGGGCCGCAACTTAAGTGTAATTGCATATACATGCAAATATATATGCAACTATATGCAATTAGCTTTTTTTAACACTGATGGGCACGGATACAAAGATTAAGGCAAGACAACACAACACACAAGCCCCATTTAAGTCAGTTCTGCTGATATGAATAAAATACAATATTTACCCAATTTCCACCCATATAACAGCACTTTTAATGAGCAATGACAGTCCAGGAATTTAACTACTAAAACACATATCAACAGAAGACCATTATATTGACTACATTTTTGTTTTGGCTCCCATCCATGGGCCGTAAACAAATGGGCCGCATGTTGAGTAGCCCTGACCTACACTATAGAGTGTTTTTTTTTTTCAGTAAAAGCTATGCAAATTGCACTCCGCAATTTGCATAGCTTTTCTCAATCGCTTTTCCGTAAGAGGCTTTTCTGCCATTTGGACCAGTCTAGGTGGGTCCAAATGACAGAAAAGCCTCCTCTTTCAGTGGAGCCCTTATCCCACATAGAACAAGGTATACAGGGCTCCCTGAAAGAGCATGTTTGCTCTTCCGCAAAAAAAAACCCAGAGACCAAACATGTTCCTTAGACCCAGCAGAGTTTTTCCGGGATACCTCCCGGATAGTGTAGATGTACCCTACATTTCTTATTCCATCTGGACATGATTTATCACACTGTTCTTGTTTAGAACCCCATTCACTGGTGTGATGGCTACTTAGCCTCTGTCACTATTGATTAGGACATAAGAGATTCTATTTTAATAAGGCAATCACAGGGTTTGGGTTTTTTAGACAAAAATTCAGACGATACCTGATGTGGCCAAAGTGGACTAGGAACTCAGGAGAAAGCCTCACAAGTTTCTCTCTCAAAGGGGAGAGGGGATATTGTGTAAAGTTGGGTCTAGTGGTTGTGAGAATGGTCCCATTGGGAAGGGGAGTTGAAAGAAATTAATACAAAGCCTACCTGAAAGGCAGGGGAATGTATCCTGACCCCAAGCTGCTGCAATGAGAAGTGGCTGGGTTAGTTTTCTCTCCCTTGGAAGCTTGCATACCGAACCCTCATCCCTAGCCCCACCTCAGTCAAGAATTTAAATGAAGAAAAACAAAAATGAATTGTGTTAAGGACCCAAGCAAAGCCAGGTAAATCTTCTAGTATAATATAGATAGAGACTATGTTACATGAATTAAGAGCTGGCTGACAGATCTCAAAAGTAGCTATCCATGGGAATTATCATGGAATGGGAGAGTTTCTAGTGGGCTTCTACAGATACGACACATGATGCTAGTAAATGTTTTCACAATGGTCAGGAAGTAAATATAAAATCCCTATGAGAAAAGGTGTAGATGACAGAAAGATTGGCGGAGCAGTCAATGAGGGACAACAGGGCAGTAATACAGAGAAATCTTGATTTCTTGCTAAGCTGGGTCCTCTGACAAAGTCTACTCCTAGCTATTGGCGCCTCCTCCTGGCCATCCTGGAGATTAGTTCTGCCAGACTTTGCATCCCGATGATGTCTTCACCCATCCTGTCTCATCATGTGGTCCCTCTTGGTCCAGGAACTGCAGCTTCCTCTTTGTGACTTGGCCCTCTGGCTGGGTCACCATACATGGTCCCACCTTCCAGGAAATCAGAGTCTCCACCACTGCCTCTTTGTCAGCAGCTGGTAGGGGCATATATGACTGCCCTCTACTTCAGATCCTGGCTCAGAGAGCTTCTCATCAGCAGCGTGGTTTGACCTACCCCATTCCTCACTGAGCTTTCCTCTGAGCCTTGCCTGCCTCTCCGGCTCTCCCTTTTTTCCAGGCTTGTCAAACCATACACCCCTTCCAAGGGATTAACTAAGCTATTTATGTCTAGCCACATCTCCCTTTTTCCAGGGAGCAATTAGGGACTCCTTCCCTCTGGTCCCCTTCTGCTGTCTGTTCCCTGGCTTTATGGAAATCTCACTTATTCCCGACCAGCCTCTTTTCTCAGTCAGCCCCCTGCTCCACAGCTTCTCCTCCAAGTACAGCCTGTGTAGTTAATTGGACAGTCTAACGATTTTAACCCCTGGCAGGCCTGTCGGGAATAGACAGACAATCACTGGCCCATTCATAGAAAACATGTTTTAAGGTAGCCAAATGCAAAGATATACCTCTAGGAACAAGGAATTTAGGCCACATCTACTGAAGAGGGGCTGTTCCCTGGATAGAAGTGACTCTGAGAAGGGTTTAGGGGACAAACAACTGAACATGAGCTCCTAATGTGATAACATGGCAAAAAGGGCTAATGTGATCCTGGATCTAGAAGCACTAGTAAAACTAAGGAGACTATTTTAACTCTGTATGTGGCATTGATGTGGCTGGTACTGGAATATTTTGTACAGTTCTGGTACCCATGTTTTAACAGGGATGTTGAAAAAATGGAGAGGATACCGACTAGAGGCAAAGAAACAATGCAAGGGTGGGACAATCTCAAACTGTTTAGCTTATCAAACAGAGTGAGAGGTGATTTGATTACAGGATACAGGTACTTTGTGAAGACAGCATGCTTCAATTAGCAGAATATATACCTAGGAGAAAAGCAAAACAAGAACCAAAGGTGGGAAGTTGAAGTCAGAATAGGGATGTAAACAACTAATCGACTAGTGACTATCCGATAAACAAAAGCCGGTGGTTGGGAATGTGCCCACCACCAACAGGGACCTGGGTTGGGGCCCAGTGGAGAGGGTGTGCCTGGGCCTCCCTATCCCCACCCCTGTGACCCCAAGGAGGGGAAGCATTGACTATGAGAAACTAGGCCTCTGGGCCTGTCTGTGAGGGTATGTCTACACTACCCTCCTAGTTCGAACTAGGAGGGTAGTGTAGACATACCCTCACAGACAGGCCCAGAGGCCTAGTTTCTCATAGTCAATGCTTCCCCTCCTTGGGGTCACAGGGGTGGGGATAGGGAGGCCCAGGCACACCCTCTCCACTGGGCCCCAACCCAGGTCCCTGTTGGTGGTGGGCACATTCCCAACCACCGGCTCAGTAGGGAATTCCTCCAAAACGTGCTTAGCTCACCGGGCTGCCTCTTGGCTCCATGCCCTGGGTTGCTTCCTACCCCTGTCCAGCTGTGTAGGACGTGGTTTGGTGTCTGGCTGCTGCTTCGCAGGCGGCAGCTGCTGCTGTGGCTGCTGCTGCTTCCCTGGCTGCTGCTCCTCGGTTAGGGCAGGAGCTCCTTCCCTGCCGGTGGTCAGACCCAACTGACCAGCTTCTCTGGCTTTTATACTAGTGCTGCAGGGCGAGCATGCCCAGAAGGGCCGTGGAGGAGGGGCCTGCTCCACCCAATAAGCCTGTCCTCCACCCCTCTGGCCAGTGTGGGTTTGATATACCCCATTACAAACCCTAAGACTGTCAGACAAATTCAAATTAGAAATTAGGCACAGGTTTTTAACAATGACGGTAATTAATTGCTAGAACAAACTATCAAGGGAATTCCCCATCTGTTGGCATCTTCAAGACTGGGTGCCTTTCTCAAAATATATGAAGCTTCAGGGGGTAGCCGAGTTAGTATATACAGGATAAACTTTAAAAACAACAAATAGTCTGGTAGCACTTTAAAGACTAACAAAGCATGGTATCATGAGCTTTCGTGGGGACAGCCCACTTCTTCAGCTGATCATCTGAAGAAGTGGGCTGTGCCCACGAAAGCTCATGATACCATCTACATGTTTTGTTAGTCTTTAAAGTGCTACCAGACTATTTATTGTTTTGAAAGATATGAGTTAGCCAAAAACAAGTTATTGGGTGAGTCATTTCAATGCAATGGTAAACAGGTGAAATATGTCTTGTGATACAGATCTAACAGTCCCTTCTGGCCTTAAACTCCATAAATCTATGAACAATTCATTGGTAGGAGGGCCATCCCAAAACATGCATAAGTGTCAATCAATAAAACCAAACCACAAAACTTCAGTTGAAAAGTCAATCAAATCAGATGTTTGGGAATAGTTCACTACATATAGTTCAGAGGGAAGCCCTGGGATTCTCAAGGCAACTACCAACTAATAGAAAAGGACAATTTCCCATTCCCACAGAGGAGATGGGGAAGACAGACAGAAGATACACAAAGCCATGCAAACAAGGCAGTGGACCCCAGCGAGTCACAGTTATAAATAGGGCTTGCATGGTGCCCAAATGAAAGACATGCTGGGGTGAGTTTGCTCTGGGAAGGAGCACTTGATGTTAGAATGCCTTCTACTGAGAAAACCCAGACCGACATCCTACTCCAGACTGAACCAAGGCAAGCCTGACTTGGTTGAACGTAACTGCCAGCCCATGATAAAAGAAAGGTGTGATGATTCCTCAAAGGCTCATTTCATGGAGGGATTAAGAAACTAATAGCATAGTGCACAAAATACTACACAGTAATAATACATAACTCTACTGAGTTGGGTTGTTTCCGCTGATGTAGTGGCAGAACTATGTGCCAGCCGGTGTCTGAGACCAGGCATCATCAGCTCCTTCCCTGCTGTCTTAAGGAGCTAAACTAACAGCAGCTCAGTTCTTAATTATTATTAGAAACATATCTTCCAGAGCCTTCATCTCAGAATCCCCCCAAAGGGGTGGTTTGAAAATAGTTGCTTATGCCATTCTTTGGTTTTAATACTGAGCCAAGTTTAGTAAGTCACGTGGCAAATCATGGCTATCACCTTATTAAAATATTAATACCAGAATTCATCTGTTCAGTTACTGTATTTCCTTTGAACGCAGCACCTTCTAAAATCCTTGATGTGTGGAGGGTTCTGGGTCCAGCACACACAGATGGTAGCCGAGAAGTGACCGTCTTGATAAAGGTAATGCATTTTCTTTTTCAAGCCCTGAGAGATGCTAAAATATCATTTATTAATTATTTATTGTGTTATATTATTAATTATTATTATCTATATTACTGTAACAGCTAGAAGGGCCAGTCATGGGCCTGGACTCTGTTTCACTAGGTGTTGTACAAATACAGGAAAAAAAAGTCCCTTTCGCAAAGGCTATGTCGAGACTATGCTTTATTTTCAAAAGAGGATATGCAAATTCCATGGGAATTTGCATATCTTCTTCCAATCTCACTTTCGAAAGTGGGTCTTTCCAAAGTGAAAGTAGTCTGGACACTTTTTTTTGAAAAAAAAAAAAAAACTTTAGAAAGAGTGCATAAATCTCATTTTTTAAGGAAAAGCGGTTTTTTGAAAAAGCGGGGGATTCTGAAAGAAACGTGTCCAGACTACTTTCACTTTGGAAAGACCTGTTTTCGAAAGTGAGATTGGAAGAAGGTATGCAAATTCCCGCAGAATTTGCATATCCTCTTTCGAAAATAAAGTGTAGTTTGGATGTACCCAAAGAATTTACAGTCTAAATAGACAAAACAGACACAGGGTAGGGTAGGGGCAGAATACATCTGCGGCAGGAATAGCGTGAGGGCAGCAACAGCATGTTAGTGGCCACGACACCACTTTTCTGGAGCGGGGGTTCTTTGCGGGGGAAATCAGCTAAGTAGAAGGCAGAGGGACCAGGCCCACTGATGAGAGGGGAGGGGGCAAAGGGAGCAGTCATCCTGGGGCCCAGCAATTCAAAAGGGCCTAGGACTCCCAGTTACCACCATTGCTACGTGGCAGCAGCAGTGGCCAGAGCCTCAGGCCCTTTAAATTACCACCGGAGTACTATGCCACACACTCGGGGCAGTCAACGGGCTATGAGGGAAGGGCGGTGCTCTGGGTAGCTGTCCCAGTTCCCCCCCTTCGGTGAACACAGAGCCAGCCCCCGCACTTTGCCCAGGGGCCCACAGAGGCCGTCAGCGACCCTGCTGGGGACACTTATGGAAAGGGGACAGTGAGATGGAGACGAAGGTAAGAGGAGTGAAGCTGGGATGAAGAGACTATTGGTAAGTGTGTCTACGCTGCCAGGAAGTTCTGGGCAGTTTCACTGCAGTGCAAACCTTCAGGGGACCTAGAACCCAGAGCCTATCCCAAGCACCAGAAGCTGACACTGCAGTGAAACAGACCTGCGGGCCGAGTCCCATCAGCCCAAGTCAGCTAGCACAGGCCAGCACTGGGCACCTAAGTGCAGTGCAGACATACCCTATGACTGAGGGAAGGAGGAGAAAGTGGTTGGAGCAAACAGGCAAGCACCACTAGGCAGAGAAAGTCCTGTTGAAACTGTAGAAAGTTCTCCAGAAAAGACAAAGGTCCCTGCTTTAGCTGCTTCTGTCCCTCTGGCTGGCTAGTCTTTGCTTTTTTCTCCCAAGCACACACGGAGGTGGTGGGGAGGGGTGCGGGACACACCTCTAGATTCTGATGCCCTATAAGTGGGTGAGATTGTCCTCTCTGCACAGCTAAGGGGAAGGGGAGGGTGGAGATTTTAGTGTTTTAGCTCCAATGCGGAGCCGAATTAATGGTCATCTGGGAGCATTTCCCATCCTGGTTATATGGGAGCTCACAGATAAATGAAAATTGATGTTTTCCTTGTACAAGCAATAACCAGCCACTTTGTTCAAAGGAAGAAAGAGCACAAAAACAATGGCATGGCTGTATAAAGGTGAGGCAATGTTTGTTTGGGTCTATTCTATAGGAAAAATGGTCCAGAGTATTCAGCAAACTAAGCTGATGAGTCTCACTCCAGTCCTTTCAGATCCTTCAGATCAATTAACAATACTCTTGGTTCACAGTTACAATGTCATGCGAAGCATTGTCCTTGGGGATGGTGTGAAACTAGGAACATAATCCCCAGCGGAAGCAAATAACTTACTGTTCAATAAGGGCATTTATTTTTCCATCTTTTTCAGCCTCTTGCTCCAAAAGATGCCCGAGGAAGAATTCTGGGATACACTGTGTTCCAAGAAAGCCGGGGAGAGGTGGTTAACTTATGTAACACATCAGATACCCAGTGCAAAGTTCTGATTTCCCCAGCCATGCGTACCCTCTATGTGACTGCATATAATTCAAAGGGGAGTTCCATGCCAGCCAGTATAACAGTGACCCAAGAGTACAGTAATTTTAATGGTAAGCTTACGCACACATCATTAGGCTTAACTGAAATCTGGTTGTGTCAAAACTGGGGAAGGGATCATCTCTATATTACTTTAAAATAGAAAAAACCCTCTGGAAATTCTGCTCCCACCCACTTCTTTTTAGTGCTCTCCAGAAGATGCCAGGCTGTGTGCCCTGGAAACAATAAGCAGCTATATATTTCAAAGGCTCTTCTGTGATAATTTTCAACAATATGTTTAAAAATAAGTTTTGGCCTGTCTGCATTGGCTAGCACCAACTGACATAGCCATGCTGCTTAAATCAGGTCTTGAAAACTGTCTCAGAATGTGGGCATTTTCCCCATATACAAAGGACCTTTGTGGAAATAACTACTTTCATTTCCAGTAAATGGACAGTTTCACCTTTATGTCTCATCATGTAAAACAACGACAATAATAGGGAAATAGAAGTAGTTGCAGAGTCTAAGTCTGCCTCAGATTCCCCAGACCAATGATTGTGGTTTTCCACAACCACATTTTCCTGTTTTCTAAAACGTAGTTGCACTCAGCAACTGGGGAAAGTCCCACAGAAACTGTAAGTGAAAGGAATGTAGTGAAAATTACTAAATAGAAAGCGTAATAGGTAAAAAAAGTGGAAAATCAGATTATTCTTGAATCTCTGTTAGAAGAATCAAAGGTTGTTTCTTGTAAGCACCAACAGGTACAGATTTTGAGAGAGAACAGGTGTTACAATGGGCCTTTAATATGTGAAATATCTGTAAAATATGTCAATGTCAGTAAAATCTCTCTCTCTCTCTCTCTCTCTCTCTCTCTCTCTCTCTCACACACACACACACACACACACACACTTAAAGATCCGTTCTTAAACTATGTCAGAGCACAGGCAGTTTCGCTGTACAGAATGGTTTCGCTTTACAGAATGGGCCATTTAATGTTTTCCTATGACTAGAAGTTCCAGCCCACCTTAATCATATCACTTCTCCTACCTCTGTTTTTTAGATTTTGAGTCCCCCACCAACATGCAGATTAGACATGATGACCAGAGAGGAATCTTTGTCAAATGGGAGCTGCCTAAAAACACTGGCAGATTAGTTCTGTGGTTCATAGTGGAATGGATTTCTGCAGCTCAGCATAATCCGCAACACAATATTTTATGGAAGAAAGTCCCCAGCAAGGACATACTTACATATATACAGGGTAAGATATGGTAACAGTCTTCTTGCTATTTACTTTCTGTATAGTGCTATAGGTGTAAACAAAGCCCTGTAGCTCAAAATACAACAAAAGAAAACAAAGAGTGTGAATTTAATTTGAGCCCTATCCCCTTGGTACTTTTAACATTACAAATAGGAGAAAAGAGAGCAGGTGAACATTTGTAGCAGATAGGCAGGAATTAAGAGTTACATGATCTGAAAGAGGCTTAGGACTGGAAACATGGAGATTACGCAGGAGGCTGTTCTAAATGTAGGCTGCACTGTGGAAGAGTGGACTGAGTCACAAAGAGGGAGAAGATAGGTATGAAACTTGGCTAAATTGTGGGGAGTAGTGAAGTCATACGTGAGCAGGGAAGATTGGTACCAATTCATATGTCTTTATAGAGAGCAAAAGAATAGAAGAGGCAGTAATATGTGAGGCAGCAATAGTCTTTTCTGTTTCTTGTTGCTGATCCCCCCTCCAATTGTAGGGGACACAACCTGCAGGCTTTATTCAGGCAAAATTCCCACAGAGGTCAAGCTTCCAGCAAAATAAGGATTGTGACATGTGTCCCTTTATGCTGAATACAGTGTTTTGGTAGCCATTTTGATCCCAGGATATGAGAAAAAGACAAGGTAGGAGAAGTAATGTCCTTAGTGGGACCATCTTCTATTGGAGAAACTTCAGAAGAAGAAGAGCTCTATGTAGCTCAAAAGCTTGTCTCTTTCACCATCATCAACTTCTATCGGTCCAAGAAAATAAATTACTTCACCCCCCTTGTCCCTCAATTATAGTGAATGCAGTGTTCCTGATCCCCACATTTCCACGTGATCACATTGGCATTTCATTCTGTACTGGTACATTATGAGGAAAATGTGAGAAACCTGCTTCAAGTGGAAACTGGCAGCTGCATTCATCACAATAAATACAACTTATAACAACAAATGAATACAGGCAGTCCCCGAGTTACGCGGATCCGACTTATGTCGGATCCGCACTTACGAACGGGGCTTTCTCGCCCCGGAGCTCGCAGGCAGCGGGACTGCCCAGAGAACAGCGGTCCCGCCACCTCGACCTCCGGGGCGAGAAAAGCTGCTCCGGGTGCCCCTGGTCTGCTGGGGACCATCTCCAGCAGACCAGGGACACCTGGAGCAAAGCCGGAGAGGCGGAGGGGTCCCACGCCTCTGAGGCTTTGTTCTGTCCCAGGCTCGAGATTCAGCCGCTGTTGAAACTGATCAGTGGCTGATTCCAGGAAGCTGGGGGCAGAGCAATTCTGCCTCCAGCTTCCTGTAGTCAGCCCCTGGTCAGTTTCAGCAGCAGCAGCTGAATCTGGAGCCAGTTCCGACTTACATACAAATTCAGCTTAAGAACAAACCTATAGTCCCTATCTTGTACGTAACCCGGGGACTGCCTGTATATCCTTTGTAGTCATTGGATTTCGTTTTACATCATAAATGAATATTAAAATAATTCCCTTTCATAAACCCTTAGGCTACATCTACACTGTCCAGTCTTGAGCAAGAACATATGCAAATGAGGCATGGTGATATTCATCGCTGTGCCTCATTTGCATATGTTCTTGTGCAAGACTGCGCAGTGTACACATAGCCTTAGTGAGTAGAGGCTTTGAAGTGGAATGCACAGTGCAGAAGACCCAGCTTCCCTGTAACTGAAACACAGTGAATTAATTCCACCATCTAATAAAATATATATCACCACAGAGATTTTAAAATGTGCTATAAGGCACATATGCATAAAAATTCTGTAGCAATTCTAATTCTGCAGTTATAGATCTATAGTTTTTATTATTGGTGAAAAGTTTGATACTCAAATTCTCTCACAACATAATCTCCAATTTTATGCATCAGAGCATATTCGTCATACATAAGTTAACTATTCAATCTGTATTAAACTGCAATTTCCTTCTGAAGTTTTTAATAATACACTTTTTTTTCTAGGCATTTTTTGAAAGCCACCACTCATGGTGGTGTCACGGTATCCATAGGGCTTTTCGTCTTCAAAGCACTTTAAAGACATTATTTAATCTTCACTGTAGTATTAATAGGTACTTTTCCCTTAGAGATGGGGAAGAAGAGAGATTTCCAAGAACTTTTTTTTAATAAAAAATAAATATATAAATACATAAATTAATGTAAAAATCCCCCAAAATGAAAATATTTTAGCCAAAATCTCAAAATATTTTGGTTTGGCCATGCTGCAGAGCCTCATGGGAAGTGTTGTTCAGTTGCTTTGTGTTCCCACTGTCCTCTTTGGGCTAAGCTTCACTGTCAGACTATATCTTTCTATGATACATAGTGCCAATGAGTCCCATGATGCACTGCTTCCCCTCTCCAAAAAGCAGAGCTTGCAATTTATCATTCAGCAGTTGAATTTCCACTGCAAAAAACTGACATTTTCCACACACACACCAAAAAAATTTGACCAGTTGTTTGCACAAGCAACTTGTGCAAGCTGTACAGCGTGTGTGAGTGATGGGAATGGAATTCAATCATTCCTAGCTCCCACCTGTTCCCATATAACTTCTTTTCTCATTTTATTTAAATAGCCAGGTAGAATTTTCTGCCATTTTAACTTTAATTTGAATAGAAATTTTAATTAAAACACTATTTTTTTCAGGAGACATCAAAGCAGAAACTCTCATTAACATTTCAGTATATGCAGTGTATCAAGATGGAATAAGCAAGCCATGTTCTGGCCAGTTCTCTCTGGGGGATTTAGGTAAGTGTACTCATGCTGGGATGGAAGTAACATTTCAATATTCAGCTTTATGGAAAACATCCCCCTCTCCCAGATCTTTCTGTGATTTGGCAATTTAGTAGAGTTACTTAATTTTATAAACAATGGCTAAACCCCATCAATTTTCTCCAGTCTTCCTTGAATGATACAGAAAAGTAGAAGTTTAGAAGGAGTTTAAAAGAAGGGGTTTTAATTTGGACACTAGAATACCAATAGCATGGACCTTGCTGAAACAGTTGCACTTTGGCTTTGTATGAGTATAATGTAGTTTGCAGATCATGGGACACAATATAATTAAGGCTGATGCTCAAGGGAATCAACTGCCAATTTCCACACGTGTCAATTAAAACTTGTGCAATGGGGAGAAATAGCATCATTTTTTACAGGGAGAAAATGGCAAAGCTGTGACCCTTACTAACCCCCTGTGGAGAAACAGCTGTACAGGTCCCAAACAGGACCCTAAAATGGTGGTCTAAATATAGAAAAAATATAGGAAAATATAGGGAAATGAGAGCAAGCTTTGCATAATCTCCAGCATTCTGAGGGTGCGTCTACACAACAAAGTTATTTCAGAATAACAGCCGTTATTTCGAAATAACTATGCAAGCGTCTACACAGCAATTCTGTTATTTTGAAATGATTTCAAAATAACAGATGGCTATTGGGACTTCTGTAAACCTCATTCTATGAAGGATAATACCTATCCCAAAAACAGCTATTTTGAAATAAGGCATGTGTAGATTCTCCACTTCTGCTATTTAGAAATAGCCCTTCACCAGGGCCATTCAAAGTTATTCCTCCTGAGGCTCTAAATCGATAAAGCACGTCTACATTAGGGAAGCCTGCCTCCGACTAATTTTGAGGCTTCCCTGCTTATTTCGAGAAGTGCTATTTCAAAATAAGCTATTTTGGAATAACTATTCTGGAATAGCGTATTCCAAAATAACTGTGCGGTGTAGATGTAACCTGAATGCCCCTGCCTTCCTTGTAGGATAATTGAGTAGCCTGTCAGATTGTTTTGGCCTCTGTTCTGCTGGAGAACCAGAGGCCCAATGTTAATTGAGATGTTCTGTGCAGCCATTCCCAGCTGAAAAGGCCGGTTTGGACAAGCCTTTTTTTTTTTTTTTTTGAGTGTCATCAGCATGGAAATATGGCCTCTGGAATGGTGGACAAATCATGAAGGGGCATTTGATTGTTTAGCATATCTGGCATGTAAATACCTTGCAATGCCATCTACAAAAGTGCCATGCAAATGCCTGTTTTCACTTTCTCATGACATTATAAATAAGAAGAGGCAGTGTTATCTCCTGTGAATGTAAACAAACTTGTTTGTCTTAGTGATTGGCTGAACAAGAAGTAGACTTGTAAGCTCTGAAGTTTTCAGTGCTTTTGAGTGCAGTTATGTAACAAAAAAAAAATCTACAGTTGTAAGTTACCCTTTCAGAATAAAGAGATTGCACTACAGTACTTGTATAAGATAAATGGAAAAATATATATTTTTCATTTACCATTTTTACAGTGTGAACGTTTGTAATAAATAATAAACGCTTTGTTTTCCATTTCAACATGGAATACAAAACATGAAAAGGTAGAAAAACAACCAAAATATTTAATACATTTGAATGGGTGTTTAACAGTGTGATTAAAAATACAATTAATCATGATTATTTTAAAACTGTGATTTGTTTTTGAGTTAACCCTGTGAGTTAACTGCGATTAATCAATAGCTTTACTAGTTACTATTTATCAGCAGATAGGATTCCCAAAGAAACTAACCAAGCTATGGATAAATCCTTGTATAGTAAAACTCCGATGGTCCGGCATCTGATGGTCCGGTACTCCTGATGGTCCGGCACCATCAGGAACCCGGAAGTGCTTCGGGCAGCCGGACCATTGGATCTGCTCTGCCCCCAGGTTCCCCGATTC